GCCGCTCCGCGGCATGTGGGATCCTCCCGGACCGGGGCACGAACCCATGTCCCCTGCATCGGCAGGCGGACTCTCAACCACTGCGCCACCAGGGAAGCCCGGGAACCTCTTTTAAAGGAAAGAGGTACTAGGTAGGGGTCCAGAGGTTCAGCCTTTAGCCCTAGTTTTGTTACTTATTGTATGCCTTTTGAAAGTCATTTACCTTTTGGTTTCAATTGTACAACGGGGAGACTAATATTCACACTACTTACCAGAGGAGGGTAAAAATTAGTATAACCGAGTTGAGAAGAAAAATGGAAAGCATTTAACATTGCTTCCAGCTGAAGAGGCAGGTGAGGAAATACGTGGATTTGATGTCATCTGGATGTAAGATATTGAACAAACGACTTCATATTTCTGATCCCCAGTTCTTTCTCTGTAGATGAGACTACCCTTCCTCACCTCACAGGTTTATCTGTGATGATCAAGTGAGACATCGCACGAGGAGAGACCTATTGCAGAATAAACGGTAATTGCCGCCGTGTAATCCAAAAACACCCCTCCCCCCTTCCCCGCGCAGCCATCCTTATATTCTTCGCCCAAACCCAGAGAATGTGAGTTAGTAAATCTGGAGTGGGGCACAGAAGGCTACATATTTTTTTTTAATCTACATTTTTAAAAAACAATATCCCTAGCAGATTTAAAACCAGGCGTCCTAACCCAAAGGACTCTGCTTGCTACCACGCCCCCTCCCTCTGACAGAAGGACCCGCGAAGTCCAGGTCTCGCGACAGTTTCTTCTTTCTCCAGAATCTGCCGCAGGTCGCGCGAGAATGGCTTGTCCAATCACGAGGCTGAATGGAGGCCCAAGATGGCGGCGCACTGACAGCGTAACATTTGCGTTTCTAGGATCTTCGGGCTGCTGGTGGCTTAAGACTCTGGGGTTGTAGAGGCCCACACTAGACTAGTCGTCTGGAAGCAACTTAGACCTCAGAGGTGAGTCACTTAATATCTCTCACGCGGGTTGCGAGTTCACTTAACCTGTGCATCACCTAGGTTCCACATTCTCCTGTTCTGGGCCTGTGAGGTGTTGGTTTCGGGGTCTAGGGAGAGAGACCAGATGGTGTGTGTGTACATCTGCGTGCGCGTGCGGGGGTATATGTGTGTTGAGGTGGGTAGGAGGAGTTGGCAAATGGAGTGGCGACTAGTGCTGAAGTAGGAAAGACCGGCGGGTAGGAGGAGGTTTACAGAGATCCAAAACTGAGGCGGGAAGATAGTCTGAGCGGGGTAATATGAGGGCGTGGAAGGAGTGGAAGGGATGGAGAACTGGCAGTGGTCGAACTAGTGGAAAAAGTCGGATTTACGAGGGAAGGAGACGAGAGAAAACGGAGATTAGGATCGGAGATTAGGATTGAAGTGGTAGGGATCTGTGCAGAAGGAATTTAAAGTTCTGAAAGCGGAATTTAGATTATTTTACAGACTTATGTATTAGCACACATGGTAGTTGAAGAGGATTATTAAGGGTCAGGAGAAACCAAGGAAACAGAAGCGTGGAGATGGGAAAGATCAAAGAAAGTCAAAGCGGAAGCTTAAGTGAAGGTCTACTACTTTGGCTTTCTGGACTGACTCGGGTAACCGGAAGAAAAAGGTCCAGCCCTAGGCCTGAGCCTTTTAGAGACTTTAAGATGGGGACTGCTTATCAAGAATGAGGGTGCTGTGTTTCAGTGTCCTGGACAGTGTAAAGAGTTCCATCGTGCTTTCAATCAAAAAACACTTATTGCATGCCTGCTTTCCAGGCCCTACTTTAGGCTCTGGGATATCGTAGTGAATAATAAGATAGAAAAAATATTTTCCATCATGAAGCTTACTGGCAGGGCAGATTTTAAAAAAATAAATAAAATATATGGAATGTCAGATGGGTAAGTTTTATGTAGAAGACTGAAGCTACTAAGAGAGCCAAGGAGTGTGTTCACTCACTGCTTATTTAAATGGAGGCACTCAGGAAAGGCATCAATGAGGAAGAGACGCTTGATCAAAGACCTGAATAAGGTGTGAGGGCACCTTGTATGTATGTATTTCCGAGGGAATAACAGTTTATGCAGACCAAACAGCAAGTACAAAAGCCATGAGATAGGAGTGTGCCAGACTTGCTAGAGAAACAGCAAGGAGGCCAGTGTGGCTAGAGCAGAGTGAGCCAGGAAGAGAAAGGTAGATTAGGTTAGAGAGAAGTGGGGAGTGACAATGCTGATGCCAGGTAAGCGCTGATACTCAGTTAAACTCTGAGGAATGGGATAGATTTAGCTAAGAACCCATCGCCTGTATTGGGAGCTTGGTTAGCAGAGAAGTGGCTTTATTGACTCATTGTGCATCTGTTCTGACCAGAAGGGTTGAATAATGAAGGAAATGAATCTACCATATTTGTAATTTAATTTGTCCATGTGTGTTCAGAGTGTTATGAGCGTGCACTGACATCAGGGTACACGCATGACACTCTGAACAGGGAGGAGAAAGTGGCAACAAATGAGTTTGGAGGGGTAGATTATGTGTGCCTTGTTAATTATTTTGGACTTTATCAGCCTAAAATCTTTAGGAAGGCACTGAAGGGATTTACCAAGGAATGTTCAGTTTTGTATTGGGGCAGGAGGAGGGGGATGTTGTTCCTGGGGTGAAGTGGGTTGCTGGGGCAAGAGTGGTTAGAGAGGGCTTCCCTGGTGGCGCAGTGGTTAAGAATCCACCTGCCAATGCAGGGAACACAGGTTCGAGCCCTGGTCTGGGAAGATCCCACATGCCAGAGAGCAACTAACCCCGTGCGCCACAACTATCGAGCCTGCACTCTAGAGCCCGTGAGCCACAACTACTGAAGTCCGTGTGCCTAGAGCCCGAGCTCCGCAAGAAGAGAAGCCACTGCAATGAGAAGCCCGCGCACTGCAACGAAGAGTGGCCCCCGCTCACCGCAACTAGATAAAGCCCACGTGCAGCAACAAAGACCCAACACAGCCAAAAAAAAGAGTGGTTAGAGAGACATCAGTTAGAGGCTATTGTAGTCATCCAAGAAAGAGATGATTATGGTCTGTGGCCTAAAGATATGGAGTTATGAAGGGCGAAAAATGGATAGGGTCAAGAAATAATTAGGCGATAGAGAATATTCAGGACATGGTGTGTTTGGAATGAGGGAGGCAGGGTGGAAAAGGTGCTAAAGGTTTCTCGCTTTTGTGCCACAAGGAAGATAGTGGTATCATTCAGCAAAATAGTGAAGATTAGAAGAGGACCAGTTTGGGGTGGGTAGAAATGATTTAATTTTGGACATGTTGTGCATGAAGTACTTTTGAGCCTTCCAAGTGAGTAGTCTGGTGGGCAGTTATATGCATGATTTGGAACATCTCGATAATTCTCTTTTGGACATGGTTGTTAAACTTCCAGTGTGGAAAGCTGTCAAAAACCTTCTGAGTATTAACATATTTATTACCATGTAAAGTTACATCTTTAACAAAGCCTGCAGAGGAACGGTACTTACTGCTAAGAGACTTTACAATAGCGGATATGACTGAACTGGGGAGATTACGGAAGGAAAGACCTTCCTGAAGAAGAAATGCTTGAACTGTGGTAGTAAGGATGAGTAGGAATTCATCAGGTGAAGAGGGGGAGGAAAGAACATTATAGACAAAAGGAGTAACCTGGGTAAAGACCCTATTGCCAGAGTGGAGGGAAAGAAAGAAGAGCAATGGGTGAGACTTAAGCTGATGGTGAAAAAATAGGTAAGGCCACACCATGCTGGGTCTTACATGTATGCTGAAGTAATGTAAAGTTTTGAGCAAGTGGGCATGGGAGGAGGACACAGTGAAATTTACGTTTAGAAATGATCACTGCAAGGTGGAAAAAGGAATGGAGAGAAAAAGTGTGGGGTCATGGAGACCAAATAAAAGGCTGTCTGGGCTTCCCTGGTGGTGCAGTGGTTAAGAATCCACCTGCCAATGCAAGGGACACGGGTTTGAGCCCTGGTCCGGGAAGATCCCACATGCCGCGGAGCAGCTAAGCCCGTGCGCCACAACTACTGAGCCTGTGCTCTAGAGCCCATGAGCCACAACTGCTGAGCCCGCGCGCCACAACTACTGAAGCCCACGCGCTCTAGGGCCCGTGCTCCACAACAAGAGAAGCCACCGCAATGAAAAGCCCGCGCACCGCAATGAAGAGTAGCCCCTGCTCACCGCACCTAGAGAAAGCCCACGCGCAGCAATGAACACCCAATGCAGCCAAAAATAAATTAAATAAATAAATTAAAAAAAAAAAAAGAGGCTGTTGTAGCAGTCTAGGCAACTTGTACTGGGCTGCTATTGGTGGACATAGGGAAAAATAGATGGATTTGAGAGGTATTTAGCTGGTAAAATCCACATACTTGATTTCTTGGAATATGAGAGGGATGGAGAACTACCAGGTGACTCTTAGGATTCTGACTTACACAATACCATTTAGATGAATGCGCATTATGAAAAAAATGGAAAATGCAGAATGATATAAAGAAGAAAATAAAGATCACCTACCATCCAGAGATACACACTAAAATATTTTTTAAATTACCAACTGCTTAGAGATTTACTCAACCACTGCAATGGGTTTTTTCCGGTTTTTATTTCTTGCTATAAATGTGTTCACTTTTTTCCTTTGTGTATTCTCGAGGAAAACAAAATTGCTATGTTTGTTTTCCTTTGGTTTTAGCTACCTGGAAATGACAAGACTGAAATTTATAAAAGAAGTTGGAATAGAGGATTTTTTTGGTAGAGTTTGAAATCAGGAAGTTAAAAAAAAAAGATGTTTTTTGAAACTTTAGTGACTTTATGGTGCACTACCAAAGAGTCAATCCATGCAAGACCACTGTAAAAGCTAACCTCTGACTACAGTATTCTTGGCTGTAGATTATGTTGCCTTCTGTCACTTTGATGCATTTAAAGGAATAGTTTCCAGTTTTCTTCCCTTGGTTTAAAAGAAAAAGATTCATCATATGTTGCATACATTTTTTTTGTTGTTGTTGCATACATTTTTAAAAATTGTGGTAAAATACACATAACATAACATTTAAAATTTTAACCATTTTTAAGTGTACCATTCAGTGGCTTTAGGTGTATTCAGTGTTGTGCAACCATCACTACTGTCCATTTCCAGGAGTTTTTCATCATCCTAAACAGAAGCCATGTACCGTTAAACAGTCATTCACCATTCTACCCTCCTCCCAGCCTCTACTAACTTCTGTCTGTATGAATTTGCCTATTGTTGGCACTTCATATAAGTGGAATAATATAGTATTTGTGCTGTAGTGTGTGGCTTATTTCTCTTAGCATAATGTTTTTAAGGTTCATACATGTTGTAGCATGTGTCAGAATTTCATCCCTTTTTAGGGCTGAATGATATTCCATTGTATGTATATCCCACATTTTGTTTATTTATCTGCTTGTGGACACTTGGGGTTGCTTCTACCTTTTGACTATTGTGAATAATGCTGCTGTGAACATTGTAAGCATCTGTTTGAATCTCTGCTTTCAGTTCTTTTGGATCTATACCTAGGAGTGGAATTGCTGGGTCATATGGTAATGTTTAACTTTTTAAAAAACCACCACACTTTTCCACAGCAGTCATACCATCTTCATTCCCACCTGCAATGCCTGAGGGCTCCAGTTTCTTTACATACTTGCCAATACTTGTTATTTTCTTTCTTTCTTTCTTTCTTTCTTTCTTTCTTTCTTTCTTTCTTTCTTTCTTTCTTCCTTTCTTCCTTTCTTTCTTTCTTTTTTTCTTTCTTTCTTTCTTTCTTTCTTTCTTTCTAATAATAGCCATCCTAATGGGTATGAAGTGATATCTTATTGTGGTTTTGACTTGCATTTCCGTAATGACTAAACGATGTTGAGCATCTTTTCATGTACTTATTTGTTGTTGCATATTTTCAAAATATAACTTCTTTTTTCTCACTTGGTTGGCAAAGATGTATTGGCTATAACTGTTGACTTGGCAACCACAGCTTTTCCTGTTGACTTTTTTTACTAAATATGCGATTCCCCCCCCACCCTTTTTTTCTTTTTAAAGATGGCTCTGAGTAAATCAATGCATGCAAGAAATAGATACAAGGACAAACCTCCTGACTTTGCATATCTGGCTTCCAAATATCCAGATTTTCAGCAGCATGTTCAGATAAATCTGAATGGAAGAGTGAGGTAGGTAACAGATGAAGAATTCTTGATACAGTATTATTCTAGTGTAATTTGAATGGACACAGCATAGTGGAAAGCGTACTGGACTGATAGTAGACCTGAATACTAATTCCAGACATTTCCTTAAACTTTTCATCTGACCTTGGACAAATCACTTAACCTCTCTCGGTTTTAGCATTTTAACCTATAAACTCAGAAGATTGGACCAAATGCTTTTAAGTTTCCTTCTGGCTAAAAAAAACAAAAAACAAAAAAAATTTCTTGATGTCCAAATTATTGCTTACCCAACAGAGATCCCAGAGTGCCTGCAGAAACCTTAGGATTGTACTCTAAAACTTGGTGACTGGTGAGGGTCTAAAGTCCTTATTTTAAGTGTGTGTTTATTTTGATGTGAGGTAGGAAAATAATAACCAGGATATCAAAACTGATTTCACTTCATTATTACTTAGAATGTCACTAAATTTAAGTTTAAAAGTTAATTATTAAAAATTAAGAAAATAATAGTATGACGCTTCAGGAAATGGCAAGGATTATGATAGTGGTGTGGTAGGAACTGATGTTTGTGTTATACCCTTGAGAAGGAGATCTTTGACGGCCATCCTAAACTCTATGTGAGTTACAGAGGGGATTGGAAATTTCAAGCCTGCCTTGGGAAAATGTGGTGCTTCACCTGTGGGGAGGAGGAAGAGCAGGATTTGTGGAGCACTAGGAAGGTTGGGAGTAATAGGATCAGAGGGCTTGAGGCATTTTGCTGACCTCATCCTTCCTCCTGGCAGACTTGTAGAACTGGAGGCCCTAGGCCAGGACTTAACCTGGGGGCCAAGGTACCCTAGAAATCCTAAAACTTAAAAAATATATATAATACATATTTATTTACATTCATTTTTCTGGGAGATAATCCTTGGTTTTCACCAGATTCTCAGAGAGATTTGTGACCGCCACCAATACACAAAGGTTAAGTCAAATGCCCTAGAACTGTGATTTCCAAGCTTTATTGTCTGTTCCACTCAGTAAAAAGTTGAGCACAGCTCCATATATGAATGCTTGTGTTACTTACCATGTTACTATATTAAACACATTGGAAAACATACTTCAAACTGGAAATTAAAAATATATTTAAATAAGAGTTCTAATATTTTCTTTGCATACTCTAAAGGTTCATCTTTGGCACCTTACTTTGGAGATCACCCCAGAGATACAGAATTGGTGTTTCTCTTTGTTTAGATCATCTCTACCCATTTTTCTTAAATCTTTGTTTCATAGTTATGTATGTGGATGTTATTTATCCTAGTAGCTTTAGAGCAGATACAGTTTTGTTATTCTTTGTTTCCTCTCTACACTTACTTTTGTACTTAATTATTTAACAAATATCTGTTGATTAACCATTTTGCTCTAAGTTCTGGGAGAGCCATAATAAACAAGCAAGACTTAGTCACTGCCATATTTGGAGTAAACACACTAGTGGAGGAAGTGGACAAACAAGCAATTAGCCTTTCAGTGTGGCAGAGCCTGTAGAGTATACAGTGGAATCACACAGAAGGGAGACCTGACCCCAGCTTTGGGATTTAGAGAATGATTTGAAACAGATACAGTGTCTTAGTTGTGTTCTAAAGAATGAGTCTGAGTTAGCCAGGTAGGAAGAAGAGTGTTACAGGCAGAGGGAGTAGCGTGTGCAAAGAGCACGGAGTAGTGGGGGACTGGAAGAGTTGAGCATGCCTAGGGTGTGGTGGACAAATGACAGAAGATGAGGCTGGGAGGATGATGCTTGCAGTACTTTATAAGGGCCAGTGAGGGGTTTGGAATTTATCTTAGGGACATGTACAGAGAGTTCTTGTGTCTTCAGAATTACTCATCTCGGGCTTCCCTGGTGGCGCAGTGGTTGAGAGTCCACCTGCCGATGCAGGGGACACGGGTTCGTGCCCCGGTCCGGGAAGATCCCACATGCCCTGGAGCAGCTAGGCTGTGAGCCATGGCCACTGAGCCTGCGCGTCCGGAACCTGTGCTCCGCAACGGGAGAGGCCACAACAGTGAGAAGCCCGCATACCGCAAAAAAAAAGAATTACTCATCCCCAGTCTTATGCACTAAAGTTTTAAAGCAGGGAAATAACATTCAGAATTGTGTTTAGACAGGTGACAGGTGTATTCTAGGAGCATAGTAGAAGATGGATTGCAGGGGGAATTAAGACAAAGTATAGGCAAGTAAGTAGGAAATGGTTTTAGTAATCTACATTAGACATATTGGTGGCCTAACTAGGTAGAGGGAGGAAGGACAGAGATCACTGGATGAATTTGAGAGAAATTCATGAATATAATTTGCAGGACACAGTAGAAATTAAGTATGAACCAAGTATGGTGCTTGGTATTCCAACTTAGCAAGAGATTAGGTGGTAGTGCCATTTCTGCAGTAAGGAACAAGGGGGAATGAGCTGGTTGGGGGAGAGATGATATATTTTCAGTTTGGGGCATGTTGAATCTGAGAAGTCTATGTGCAGTTGAAAATAGAAGTCAGAAGAGAAGGACACAGCAGTGGTGTGGAAGTGGTATTAGTGAAGGCCTTGGGTCTTTGAATACTGAAAGATGAATAGAAGGGGGGAAAGAGTTCCAAGTATAGAGAACAGAATTTTTTGAAAGGCCTGGTAAGTTTGCAGAACTGCATGTAGATGGGGGTGAAGTGGGTATAGAATAACAGCTTAGGGAATACTAGGAGATGAGACTGAAAGGAAAACAAAGAACAGGTCACAAAGAGCCTTTCATAGCTCTTAGCTCATGCAAAGTAGAATGGACTTGCTTGCTCAGACTTTGAGGAACCAGAGGAAGATTTTTAGGATGGTTAGGATTTTTAAGATGGCTTAAGATTTATATATTTTAAGAAAAATCACTCAGAGCAGACCAAACAGATCTGTTATCACAACATATCTGAGTGGCTTAAGGGTGTCTGACAAGTAATAGACATTCAATAAATATTTGTCAAATGCATGAGAATAATTCTTCTATAAAATCTAACTGTATGCCATTTACAGATGGCATACCTAAAACAAAATTGCAGATAAATAAAAAATAAAGGGATGGGCAAAAATATACTAAACAAATGAGAGTTCCCTCCAAATTAAAAAAAAGGTAGAAAAAACCTCAAATTAGAAAAAGAAGACTAGTTTGTATTGACAAAAAAATTACGTTCAATGAAGACTTAAATAAAGACTTTTAGCATATTGAAAAATGTAACATAAGAAATATCTTTTAAAAAGTGTTTGATATAATTCAGAGACATTTTTTCTTTGTCTTTCCAACCAAGTAGAGAAAAATAAACAGAACGATGGCCTCAGGGACTTTCAGAGGATCAATGAATGCTTCAAAGACAATTAGGTAAAAATACTCTTTGTGTATGTTCTTTTTCTTGGGGAGATAGGGTTTAAAGCTTTAACCTATAATTTGAACTTCAGTTTTAAAAGAGTAATTGACCCAAAAAAGGTTAAGTACTGCTGATAGAGAGCCTAAATAATATAATGAATGAATTTGATTTAGTGATATATTTTAAACTTTTAATCTATAAATGCACATTCTTTTTTTTTTAATTGATACTGCATTATTTTATTATTTTCTTTATTTTTTGGCTGCTACGCAGCATGTGGGATCTTGGTTTCGCAACTAGGGATCAAATTTGCGCCCCCTGCATTTGAAGCGCAGAGTCTTAACCACTGGACCTCCAGGGAAGTCCCACACATTCTTTTTAACTAGCTTGCACAGGCTTATAACACTAAGAAGTGACTGAGTTGGAACTCTCTGGCTCAGTCTGTTGCTTCCCTTATTTACTTAGAGTTAATAAGATTAGAAGGAAAAAGAATTACAATTTTACAGATGGCTTGATTATTGTCTACCTGAAAAAACATTTGAGAATTACCTAAAAATATTCAGATGATTGCTGAATAAAACATACATATAAATATTTTTAAATGTATATAAATAAATAGAAAATTGATAGGTTTCCAGATATTAGTTGGAAAATATAGTTGCAATAAAAGATCCCATCCACAATAACAAAGAGGAATAGGCAGAAACTTGGCAAAGAAATATGTTAAGATCTATGTGGATAAAGCAACAGAATTACCCTCAGGGGTCTAGGGGAGACAGTGAATCTAGAGACACCGTGTGTTTCTGGATGGGGAGGCTCAGTATAGTTAATATGTCGATTCTTCCCCAAATCAAAATCCTTCTAAGGTTTTTGGGAGAGAAAGCGACATAATGTTTCTTCTGTTCAAAGAAAAGATACTCAAAACAAATGTTATAAGTGGGTGATGGCAAGGTGAAGGGGTGTAAACTTTCCCAGATGGGTATTTAAATATATTGTGAAGTTCGAGTAATTAAAACATTAGCCCAGTAGTGCCACAAGAATGGGCCATCAGTTGTCTGGCACAAAGTGGCATTCAAGTCTCAACAGCATGTGCACATTAAATAGGGTGATTCCAGCCTGCTTTCTACTCAGTAGTATACCTCCCAGAGGGAGTATAGTGTGGGAGTGTAGAGTGGACAGGGTGAATCTTCCTTTCTAGATCAGTCTTGACTCCTGTGTGTTTCTCATAATGTGAATATCTTACAGTGCTATGAATGATTAAAGAGCTTTTTCAGTGTTCTCTTGGATTTTCACTTTATATGCTTACTTTGGAAGCTGACTCCTAAGTAAGATACCACCCCACCATGTAAAGACTGTAACATAGAATAAGGACATTTCAGGTTGTTAAGGGTGGAGGCAGACACCAATGGATTTTTAATAGATGCATTGGAACAGCTGTGGGGAAAGTGCATTAGATTCCCTTTCCTATATATTATGCAAAATAAATTCCTGATGGTTTGATGATTTCAATATATTCTATTGAAGTACTAGAAAAAAATATATAGGTGAACTGTTTAACTTTCGGTGTAGGGATGGTCTTTCTGAGTAAACTCCAAGGGTAGAATTCATAAAGGAAATTTTATGGATTCAACTACATAAGAAGTAAAAACTTTTA